TTCTTTTATTTCCTTAATTTTTTCTGCTCACTTTCTGCTAATCTGATTCAAGATAAGAATATTTATAAGAATGAAATTTTAGACTAAAATAAATCACTAATATTATATTCTTATTACATCAATATGGCAAGTTTCAGTTAGCTTTGCATAAAAGTAGCTGGTAGAAATGTCCTTTAAAGAGATACTTTTTACTTTCTTACTTTGAGTAAATTTCAGAGCCTGTACTTTTTCACTTTTACTTGAGTAAACAAGTGGAATCACTACTTCATCTTTTACTGGATTTTTTAACAATAGTGTCTGCACTTCTACTTAGGTACAGACTTTCTGTACTTTTGGAACCTCTGCTGATAAGTCAAGCGCATGGGCAAGTGCTACTTTGATCTTATCATTGACTGTAAATCAAACTTGAACTTCACCTTCTAATTAACATGTTTCGGATGTTCTGAATGCAATTATTTTCTTAAAGCGTCAGTTCTCAAACCACAGATTTACTATTATGAACAAGTCAATGAGAGTAAATGCATGGGTTAGTTCGCCTTTTGTGTGTTCATCTTAATATCAGCAAAAAATGATCAGATATTGAAAACTTCCCTCGTCCTAACTAGCTTAAAATTAAAAGTCAGCAGTTTTATCCAGTTAACTTCAGGTTAACAAGCGCTGAGCACAACCAGCTCCTTCACAGATAACAACTTGATTCTGTTCTTTTTCCTATTCATTACTTTGATCTTCAGGTTAAAGGGTTTAGTTTGCATGGTGTTGAGGCTGAAGTGCAACATCAGAAAGACAGTTGTAGCTGAATTTCAAAAATGACATGAAAGAAAGACAGATTTTTTTTTAAACCCAATGAAAACAGGAGCCCACTCAAGGTGGTTCAGGGTATTTACTGATGATGACAGAAGTAGCAGGGGGGGAATTCTTCAGTATGCAGAGCTATACTCTCTTCTTAGATTCACTCAAACACTGCAAAACGGACTAGCCAGCACTTCATGGTGCAAAAGGATACTACTCCAAACCATACTGCAAGACCAACCCAAGAGTTTATCAAGCAAAGAAATGGGACATTGTTCAATGGACGAGTCAGTCACCTGATCTCAACCCAACAGAGCATCCTGTTCAGTTAAATACGAAACTAAATGCAGAAAGATCCACAAACAAGCAGAAACTGAAGGCTGTTGTTATAGATGACTACAGAGCATCTCAAGGGAAGAAACACATCATCTGGTAATGTCCATAGTTTTAGACTCCAGGCAGTCATTAACCCTTTGTCCAAAAAACCAAAACTGACCTATTCGTGTCCTTCAACAGGTACCAGAGGCTTCAAGTTCTGCCAGACAACAGTGATAAGCTCTTTGCTGAGCTATGTGTTACTTTCGATATGAAGCAAGAGATTAAACCTGACAACACGACATGGTCAACAGCAGCTGGACAGAGAGATATCTTAGCTAAAGAAGAAAGAGAGTGTCTTGGAGTAGAGCAGATGAGTAAGCCTTCACCACATCTTGATGAATTCAAGCACTTACTCAGAACAAATAATCATCTTTTTGGTGCTTTGAAGATGAAACTGCAGCTGTGTTCAAAGTAAGAAATGAACTTGAGGCAATTTTTTACAAACTTGCTTAAGAAATCACTGAAAGTAAAAGACGAATATATTGCACAATGAATCCAAGTGGTGTGGACACATTTGTGGAACGTAATGGAAATCCTAATGGAAACTTTAATATTGCAGAGTTATGAATCTCAAATGTTTTTTGAGACACAATTTACTGTCTGTAGGACGAATTACTTTCACAAAGGGTCTTGCATGTTTTCACTGAGAAACATCCCATAATTTGAGTCCTTAATCCCACGATGTCAGATGGGGATTACCATATTATTATTTTTTTT